TCTCAGACACCTGTTAATGTATCATACTTTATATACTGTACACCCATCTGTTTACAATTGAAAGACCTGTCATCGCTGACGATTTGGAAGTTTTTTTTTTATTTTCCTGCAGATTTTGTCCATTGTATCCGAACTCCGTTGATGTGGGGGACGGGGGTCTGTAGATGAGAGGTTTGTCTGTATACACAAAAACAGAGCAAACATGAAATACATATATGGACAACAATACTTACATTTTATTATTGTTCACAACTAAATTTCATGTAGATGCTAATGTACAGTTGCACAATCATCAAGTGGTCAAAGAAGCAATACAATATTCATAGTAGTGTGTACTATATTGGGCGATAAAAGTAATACAATACTCATAGTAATGAGATATTGCTTTTATTTGCAAATTTACTATATAATACTCATTACTAGGAGCATTGCTTCTTTTACCACCCAATATGATACTCATTATTATGAGTATTATATTATTGCTTTTACCGCCTGACAATTGTGCAACTGTACATTAACCACCTTTACATATGAAACCTTTAGTTGTGGACAGCTGTAAGATTTAAATACTGTTTTTTCCTATGAGTAACTTCTAGGGAATTAACCAATTTTATCTATAATCTTACATTATTTGTTATAACTTATACTAGCTGAATTACCCATGCCTTGCTGCATGTCACACATTTGTTTTGTAAGAATATGATGATTGATTTTAAATCATTGTTATAATTTGTGGAGAAAAATGATGCATTTCAATATTACTCACTGATCTTGCCTATGTGACCTCCATTTTCTGGCTTTCTCTTTCTATATTTTGGATAGGTGTCATTCCCTTGTTTTAATTAAAATCAAAGTGGGGAAAAATTTTCAGTGAGGGGTTTGTGCCACCCAGGGACCCCACTTTGATCAAAATGAAATGTACTTATCCAAGTACCCTGGGTAATGTAGTTTCAAAATATATATGGCTATGGGGGTCATCTCCAAAATCCTAAGAGGAGTTCAATGACAAACAAATGGACAGACCAAGGCTACAACCTATATACAATTGAAATGAGAACAAATTAAATATAAACTTAAATGTTCACAAAATTAATTTAAAAATAGGGTTCAATACAATAGTAGAGTGATAATTCTTTATTATAGGATATTACATTTGAACATATGTAAAACCGCTACATTCATGTTTCAATGCATATTGCATCTCATCAGGTGGTGGTAAGTGAAGGTTATCACAATTTTTAATTTTTACTTACAAACAAATATATATATATAGTGGATACCTGTGGTTGAGTCAACCTCCGTTTTTTTCCACCACCCCCATAAACTATACCTCTTACTCTATAACTCTCTGCCTTGAGTGGCTCAGAGTGAGCATTATTTCACATTCTGATAAAGCCCATTAAATAGCAAAGTGATAAATTTATGAAGTTCTTCCTGCTTGTTGTTTATATATATGCCTAATTTTATTTTAGGATATTACACCAAAAACATGTAAAAATCGGGACACAATTGCAGTCGTATTTCAACACATCTCATCAGGTGATTGGCAATTTATTTAGATTTAAAAGCAAAAAACAAACTCTTTTTTCGAAAAAGAAAAAGTGGGGTTATAAGCTTTGTGGCTTTACTCTGATCAACCAATCAAATTAAATTTAAACTATGTGAAGAAGCAAAAATTCTTTTTTATGGGTCATGACCCATTGATTGGCAGCTAACAGCAGCCAAACATAAATTCAAAACAGGATATATATGGTTACATAAAATATCTTAATCCACTATTGCTTTCAGAAAAAAACTTTTGATGAATATTGAATTTTTGCAAGAATTGTTTCAATTTTTTTTTTTTTTAAATTAGAATAATTCCTAAAGTTTTAAATATTTTAAAATTCTGTCTTAATTTGTGGCAGTTAAGTGATATTGTCATTGCATAAAAACTACATTTACTAATCATAAATGGAAAAGGTTACTAATATTAGTAGTCTCGGGTGCAATAGGGAAATTATCATTTTATATTTTTAATTTTGTGCATAAACGTTTGTTTTTGATTTTGTTGACTGTCAGTTGGGCACCATCTGTGAGAAAAACAGCACCGCTGATGCAATTCACTCCACCAGAAATTTGGAAATTGCATGCTGTACTGCTTGGCATTTGCACTGGAAGCTCAATATGAACATTTCAGAGTGTTTTCATGCCAATCTGAGGACAATTTATTCATCGCACCCTATGTATGTATAAGAGAGAGTTAAATATGGACCAGAATCTGATTAGATGATAAGATAAAGAACAAATATGAAACATCAATCTAAAACCTTTATCTCTGAATCTGTTATAAAAGTGTAACATATTAAATTGATAAATGTTTCCTATTTGTTCTTTGTTATGATATATACATTCTGTTTATTAACACAAAATAAACATTTAAAAGGTATTTTTATATTTATAAAGAGGTTTATTTTATATATATATATATATATATATATATATATATATATATATATATATATATATATATTTTTAAAGACAGACTGCTTTAAGGTTCCATTATAATAATTTATTTCAAACCTTTTAAAGGATGCTGGATCATCAGATAACAAAAATAAAAAATGAAATGAAAATTCACACTTTTCTCTGTTAAATTATATAAATGTAATTTACTACCCATCAAAAGTGAATTTTCATTTTGATTTTTATTTTTATTTCATTTTTTGAAGTTTTATCTGATGATCCAGCATTTAAAAGGGCTCGGTGAAATAAATTATTATAATGGAACCTTAAAGTGGTCTGTTTTTTCTTTAAATTATTAGCTCTGGATTTACATTGAGCTCTCAGGATTTCATCCTCCTTGGGACTACCCATATGGATTACCAAGTTTTTTATAACTTATATGCTCGCTAAATGACATTTTCCCATTGACAGATGAACAAATTTATTGAAGTTCTTTAAATTTTGGGTAACACCTGTGAGTGAAAGAAACTTCTTTGTTCTTGAATATTTTTTCTCTTCAAGCCACTGTTATTTACTGAATGCATTTTTTTTTCATTTTTTTTTAATTTTGTCACACCCTCCACCTTTACAGAGTTTCTGTTGTTTCCTTGATATTGTATGTCTGAAATTTTAAAATCATTTAAGCTTGCCACTAAAAGTAAACGATATCTGGTCAGAAATAAATGAAAAATTTTTATTTATTTTTTTAAGTCACATAAGGCTCTGTTTGCTTTTTTTTTTTTTTTTTTTCTTAACATATCCTATTATGAAATACTCTCAGCTCACTCAAAATTTTCTATTTATGCGTTTCTTCCTCTTTCCTTGTAGACTTCGAATCCAGCACGAAGCACTTTTAAAACATGAACGAGACCAGAATGACTTTATTGAACAGTTTATGCTGCAAAAATAAAACCATGCAAAATAGACCAAGAAAATGAAAGATGACTCCCGCCTCCTCAAATACAAACCAATTCCGTCCAAAAGCACTGAAAATTCTTACATTTTAGTTTTTCTGAAAAACTCTTAATAAAAGCCCACCTACTTATAAAATGCCTTAAGCAGGTTGACATACATGCACACACACACACGTGTGTGTGTGTATATATAATATATATATATACACACTTATTTACCACTTTCATGCAACAGTTACATATGCATCGATATTTGGTATGGCAGCACAATTATCAGGTGATCAGAAGAGACCTGTCTCTCCTGACGATTGTGATGCCATACCAAATATAAGCACATATGAAACTTTTTGTTGCATGAAGGTGGTGTGTGTGTGTGTGTGTGTATATATATATATATATATATATATATATATATATAATAGCTCTATCTCTGATATTGAGCACTTTCTATAAAGTACTATGCATATAATATATAAATAATTATTTATTTTTATATATATATACACACACACACTTTTCTCACACACACACATATATATACATAATCTCAAATATATGATGCAGTTCAATTTATATTACAGTGAATCTTTCATACAAAAAGTAGATTAGTAAAGTTAATGATATAAAATGGCGAAATCTCTTTGCAAACAGCATTTTAAAGTTGCATTAACTACAAACCACATTAAAAAGAAAAGACCTTATACAGCTTGTAGTTATTAAAAACAAGGATCCCAACATTCATCGAGTGGTTCGTAGGTTAATGTAACTTAAAAATGTTGTGTGTGAAGAGATTTCATTATTTTATATCATTAACTTTACTAATCTACTTTTTGTATGAATGATTCATTGTTTTATATATATATATATATATATATATATATATATTGTGTGTGTGGCCTGATGATTGCATTTAGCATGAAACACTGTCACATCTGGGTGTTGACTTCAATATACACTTTTATATTCACATCCACTCTGCCCCAGATATTGAACACTTTAAGCTATAAATATAGCATACCTTAAAACTATATTTTATTATATATGTATGAATGGCAGAAACTTTTGCTACAGTCAATGTGTATGATTTACATGTTGGGAGTTTGACAGTTATTTATTTTGTAAAGAACCACCTATTTCATTTAAAGAGTCATTGCCTTTTTTATGTTTTAATTTCTTATAGGAAGATTTACAAAAGAAATATTCATGAAAAAAAAACTACAAAATCATCCAAAACAAACTGGATATGACAGATTTAATGTTGGAATTTAACAAGAGGCACTGACCAGAAATAACTTATCTTTTGTAATGTTATTATAGATTAAGTACTTCAGATCACACAAATATATATATATATATATGTAATATAAAAAGCTCAAACACTAATATTTCATGGTTATAATTTATTACGTTGGAATTGTAATTACGATCCAATTCATCAGACCTACGATTTCAAAAATTCTACCTGGATTCTATCCTCCTGGAAAATATATATATGATGGATGGACTCTCTTGTCGTGTTCAACATATGAGGTCCTGACGACCACGAACTAATTATCTGCATGCCTATGCTGGGCACGACTTTTGAGACCGGCTCAAGAATTGCACAAAAGACCACAAACAGTAGAGGAGAATGTATTGTATTCAAGTGCAGAAAGGAACACTGTTAGAATATACATAATATAAAAGGCTTAAACACTAATATTCCACTAATATAGACCTATAATTGTAGATCTGATGAATTAGATCATGATTACGATTCCAATGTAATAAATTATAACCATGGAATATTGAGCCTTTTATATTATATTCTTGCTCTGTCCTGGACATTGAGTTCTACCTGGATTCTATACTCTTGGGAATTATATATATATATATATATATATATATATATATTTATTGACACTAATATTATCTATCTATCAAGACTAATTTTAGGCAAAAGAAGTATGACAAAAAATTCATGTGACATGTTTTGACCTTTGGGACTTCATTGGACTAAGTTTACATTTACGTTGATGCAACTCTGCATGTGCACGAACGAGAGACACTGGGAATTTAAAATTTAAAGTAGATTTTTCAAAGAAAAATATTTTTTAAATTCCCCGTGTCTCTTGTTCATGTGTATCAATGTAAACTTAGTCTGATGAAATCCTAAAAGGCAAAATGTGTCACATGAAAACTTTTTCGTCATACGTCTTTCCCCTAAAATTTTTCCTTATATATAAAAAAGTTTATATATAATGTATATAATATATATAATATATTCCACTTTCTGACAACAGCAAACTTTGCTGTTCCAACATCAAAATATCAGCTCCACACCAACATGGAAAAACTTCAATTATTCATTAAAAAACATACCCACAACAAGCATATGTGATTATGAAATCACGCTCACTGAAAAAATAGAACATTTCATAAAATGCATATGGAAAGTATTTTACTTCCTTAACAAAAGACAAAACGAACAATGATAATAACCATAATAATTTTGGATTTTCATCAGCAAAATGCTCACCACAGTAGAAAGACCTTATTGCATTTGAAAATAGCATAATATGCAAACTAGAAACAAGAAAATCAAACAGCAAATTCCAAAAACAATTAGAAAAAGACCAAAAAACGTAAAACAAATCCAAAAAACTCTATATTCAAGCTGACAAATCTAGAACTATTTACAAAATGGACAGCAACAACTATAAAAATTTGTTGCAAAAGAAATCACCAAATTCTATAAAACCACCAGCAACAAATATGGAACTGAACAAGGAAGCAAAATATTTAACTACCAAATTAAAACTAGACAACAGGATCAAACAACGACCAAAAGTAGAAACATTTATTAAACTAAAAGACTATGAGGACAAAACGTGACACATTGATCCCGAAGGAAGATCTTTTAGGTGCTATGACAGATAGGGAATACTGGAGAGGTGTAGTGAGTTCAATCTTGGCTGAGGCCGCAAGATGATGATGATGATGATGAGGACAACTTAAACAAAATAACATGTAAATTAATAAACTCTAGAAAAACCAACATTGGAAAAATAAGTAGAGGAAATATGTTTAAAACTAAAGAGCAAACTAAAAATAAACCATTGGAAAAGCACAAGAAATAATTGGTTTAACAACAAAGAAGAATGCTCTTTTGTACAACTGGACATAAGACTTCCACCCATCCATCAATGGACAAACACTTAATAACACACTAGGTATAGTAAAATAACATAAACATCTTCGATGAAGACCTAAAGATTGTCAAACACTGTAGAAGATCCATACTTATACCACAAGAACAAAATATGGTTGAACAAAAACTGCAACACTAACAAAAACAATGTCAATAACAATTACCATTTTGACATAACAATGGGTAGCTATGACAGTGTAGAGATAGGCATATATGTCACTAACAAATTAGCAAACATTATCAACAAAAAATATAGGCCTATACAGAGACAATGGACTAATAACCCTAAGAAACTAATGATAGAACCGGGGAAAAAATAAAACAAATCATAGAAACTTTCAACACACGAGGATTCACAATAGACATAAAATCAAATCTAAAAGTAGAAAATTTCTTAGATGTAACATTTAAACAGAAATACATACAAACCATACAAAAAAGCAAACAACCATATATATATATATATATATATATATATAAACAACCCCTCCCCCAACATATACCTATATCCATGAACAAAAGAATATCAACAAATTCCAGCAACATTAAAATATTCAACGTAAGCAAAGAAACATATGAATCGGCACAAAGAAATAGTGGCTATTCAAATAAACTGGAACACATAAGCAAAAACAAATCCAACAAAAATGACAGAAAAAGAAACATAAGCTGGTTTAACCCACCCTACAATAATAACAAAAATAGGAAAAATGTTTTTTCAATATAATTAAAAAAACATTTCCCCAAATACAACAAACTATCAAAAAAACAGAAACACAGTCAAAATTAGTTACAGCTGCATGAACAACATGAAGAAAATAACCAAACACAATAAAAAAAAAATTAATACTCAACAAAACCGATGACAACAACATAAACCAGCAAAACAACAATAAATGTCTAACCAACAATATATAAAATCATTGTAACAAACATTAACAAAGACAAAAAAATTAGATAGAAGCCTCAAAAACAGCCTTCAAAAAGGATTTAACAATCACAAAACATCATTTAAAACAGAGAGCTACAAAAACAACACAACACTATCAAAATGCATATGGAGCCATAGAAAATCATAAAAGGAGCATCCCTGCACAACAGCAATAGCAGAAATTGTGGCAGCATCATGATGATGCTCTTAATAGCTTCCTTAACCATTGTAAATGGTCCAAGGCTTGTCAAGCTGAAAGAAAACTACAGGCCGGCAAGCCATGCTTGTGGTGGTTTGACTCTGTGTGTATATATATTTTAAAGAAAAATAGACCACTTTAAGGTACTATTATAATAATTTATTTCACCAGAGCCCTTTTAAAGGACGCCGGATCATCAGATAGCACTACGAAAAATGAAATTAAATTAAAATTGATAGGTAGTGTAAGTTTTTGTAATTTAACAGAGTGTAAAAGGAGTAGTTAAAGAGACATGTAGAGTTTAGGGAGGTATTAATTTCATATCTCTCTCAATTATACTTAGTATTGGGGGAGGAGGAGTAACCAGACCTTGACCTATTTAGACAGTTAACAGAAGTGATATATTGAAATGGGAGGGGAGAAGAGAAAAAAGAGAGGGAAGTAAAGAGAAAGAGGCTGTAACTGGGTTTTAGCAATTTCTGTAAAGAATAGATTTTAATGCTTCATATTAATTTAGATGTCTAAAAAAAAACGAAGAAATTAATTTGATGCTTGTTAGCAATTTAAATATTTAACTTTTTTCAAATAGTTTAGGGATTTAATATAAGTTAAATACTATATTTATTAACACATTTATAGAGAACATATTAAAAAATTTTTAAATTATAACAGTTTG